ACAGTTAATTTATCAAAATAAAAATACTAACGAAATAGCTTACCTAAAAACAGACGATCAATGGTTATTATATCTGATTACAAAAGACAATTATAATGACAAACCTAAGTATTCTAATATTTTCAAAACTCTAGAAAACACAAAACAATTTTTCAAAGGAAATAAAATAAAAAAAATTAGCACTGCCTAAAATATTGAACATATTTATTTTGTTGTTCAGGCTTGGACAACAAAAAATGGGACATCACTTCTAATATGATCAAATTTATATCTCAAAATACCTCTATAAAAATTAAAATACTATCACTACCCGAAGGAAAAGATGACAACCTTTTACACAACTATGAAAATATATATCCTATCAATGACAACAAAAATGACAGTTCAGCAATAATATTGAAACAAATAAAATTTAAGACATATATCTAAATAACTCTAATAACTCTATTAACAATGAATCAAAAAATTTTAATAAATATGTCTGCACCTATGTAGACAAACATTACAATACAAGAGTACTATCAATAATAGTAGAACATGAAGGAATTGAAAAATATGCAATAATTGACACAGGATCTAATATTTCTTGCATAAATATGTCTTTAATCAATAATACGGAAATCGTTAAACAGGAGTTTATTGTTATAACAGAAGCAGATAATACCAAATTAGAACAAATAGGCAAAATAAAACTAGTGGTAAAAATAAATGGGAACACGTACTCTATTAATGCGTACGTAATCAAAGGATTAAACTGCAAAATATTGCTAGGAAACGATTTCAACATAAAAAATAACTAAATCATCTATTTTAAAGATACAAATTTAGAATTAAATAACTATGTCTTAATACCTATAGATAAACTATGGTACAATTATAACGCACAAAGCAATAACAATAATATAGGAACAAAATATAATATAACAAGCATAAACTACGTCAAACAAAAATATATAGGAAAAATTGTATCAAATTATAACATAAATATTAAAAACTTCCACAATAAACACAAATATAATAGACACAAGTTACGTATTAGAACCAATTGAACGATTAACCAAAAATAAGCTTCTAACATTAGAATCATCCTTTGTTAGTAATGAAGACGGTATTACTCTTTTCAATTTTTCAAATCTTCACTGTAACATTCCTGCAGGAATGACAATAATAAATATCGTAAAAACAAATACGCCAAATATAAAAAAAGAATTAGCAGAAAAAAATATAAAAACAATATATTATACCACTAAGCAAAAACATTATGATAACGAAAATATTAATAAAGTCACCGATAAACAAGGAAACGTAATCAAAATTTCCCAAGAATTAAATAACAAACAACGTAAAGAAGCTCTGAAACTAATTAATAACTATAAACACTTATTCACTTCAGACCCACTAGATATAAATTGTGCTAACATAGAACCATGCGAAATTAAAATAAAATCAGATAAACCTATATTTCAACCACCGTTTGGAGTTTCTCCGTTACAAAGAGAAAAATTAAAAATATTAATAGACCAAATGATAGACTCGGACATTATTGAACCGAGTAGAAGTAGTTACGCTGCACCTGTTTTCTTAATTCCGGAAAAGGAAAAGGGGAAATACCGATTCTTGGTAGACTACAGAAAATTGAACAACGAGACTGTAGCTGACAAACACCCAATGCCATGATCACAGGAAATTTTTAGAAGTTTAGAAGGAGCTAAATACTACTCTTCTATCGACATGGCTCAAGGTTATTTTCAAATACCAATAAAAGAAGAGGACCAAGATAAGACAGGATTTATTACAGATTTTGGACTATTTAATTTTAAAAGGATACCGCAAGGGTTTAAAAACTCAGCTCAAATCTTTCAAAGAATAATTAAAAACGTGTTTAGCGACTATTTGTATAAAACCATGATAGCGTATCTTGATGATATATGTTGTTTTGGAAACAGATTTGAAGAAGCATTAATTAGATTAGAACAAATTTTTATTAGACTAGAAGAAACCGGCTTAAAATTAAAAACAAATAAATGCACCATTTTAAAATCAGAAGTTGAATTACTTGGCCACACAGTCTCTAACGTTGGACTAAAACCTTTTGGAAAGAATACAGAAGCAATTGTAAAATTTCCAATACCAAAAAAAATTAAAGATGTACGAGCTTTTGTTGGGCTGACTAGTTACTACAGAAAATACATTAAAGATTTTGCAAAAATTGCAAGTCCTCTAACTAATTTGACAAACAAATAAAATAAATTTATTTGGGGAAACGAAAAAGAAATATCTTTTGAGACTTTAAAAAAGGCGATAACAACCGCACCGGTTATGGCAAATTTCAAAGACGGTTACCCTGTTTTTGTTACCACAGACGCCTCGTTAGAGGGACTATCTGGAATACTCGAACAGGAAGATGAAAACGGAAAAAGACACCCGATTAGTTACGGAAATTGAAAGGGGGTGAAAGAACCACTACAGGATTAGAAAGGTCGGCTGTAGTATTTGCAACTAATTACTTTAGAGAATACCTTATAGGAAGGAAAATAACAGTCTTCAGTGACCACTCAAGTCTACAATTTTATAGAACAATGAAGAATCCATCTTCCAGGATAACAAAATTCATTTTTAAATTATTAGAATTTGACCTAGAAATAAAACATCGCCCTGGCTCATGGAACACGGTGGCAGATTGTCTCTCACGTTACCCCATTTATACAACAAAAATAACAGATATATTATATGAGAACGATGAAGACGAAATTAATGCTAACTCTACAAATTTCGAAATTAATTCCGACAATATAAAACCTGAGACATTAAAAACACTACAGTCAGAAGACGAATTTTGCAACGGTATAATTTTATCATTACTGGGAGATATAAAAAAAAATATTTTAAAAAATCAAGAAAATATTTAATAAAGCAGGAACTACTATATTTTAAAAATTGGTCACCTCACGGATTAAATAACCTGTTAGTAATACTATTATTACTATTACTGAAAAAATATCTGACGTAAATTACAAAGAAGATTTAATCTTTAAAGGGAAAAAACCATAGATATCATACATGTACAAAGAATAAAACCTTTTTATGAAACAGCAGTATCAAACACAGGGGAAAATAATGTACCTTAATCAAACCTAACACTAGGCAAGTTAATATTTAAAAAAAAAAAAATAATTTTACACAACACTAGCTAACCTTTATTTTGGTATTTTTTTTTTTTACAAACTAAAAACTTAATTGTAGACAATAGTGTTCATAAAATTAAAACCTCATACTGCATTTTAATATAGTAAGTATTTCATTGAAGTAAACGTTAGTTATAAGTACTGTAAGAAACTAGTATAAGTTACAAAAAATAATGTAATAACGCAAAAATAGAATAAACGAAAAATAATAAAAAGAATAAAATAAGAAGAGAAGAAATCACCGTAAATATTAATACGACGCCTGCCGACACTAATAGTAGTCTTAAATTTAATATACTAACATTCGCAGCCACAAGAGGATTAAATCTACACAATACAACGAAGAAGATGAATGAAATAGTAAACTCAGCAATAACCTTCACACTCTAGTAATTTTTTTTTATTCCGTCTAGTGATTTCTTCTAATTTTTCCCCATCACCCGGCATTCTTTTATTCGGAAAAAAAAAGATAAAAAAAAAAAAAATAATAATAACTATATATACATATATTTTATATACACCTACTTTATAATTTCGAAAACCGCTTGATAGACAACATTGTGTGAACACCGCAAACAAGAAGATGAAAAAGAAAGATACAACAATTAAGCATTTAAATTATAAATATTAAATATAACAAATCTCTGATGATAATCAGCATGAAGCAATCACATATTATATAAATAGACAAATAAAAAAAAAAAAACGACACAACAGTTATAGAAGGTTTTGAAAAATTATAAATTTTAGTTATTTTACCCTATCCCAAAAGTTTTCCTCTCAGAAAATATATATGTCATTCCTATTTACCTTTCCACACTCCAAACACTAAAAATGCGTAATACAACTAGTTTTTTTAAATTTAATATTATAATTATATACATTACAATTGCATAGTTTTAAATGTAAAATATGAGGACATATATTTTTTTTTTAACATAAGGGAGTGTTGTATGTGGCATATGCCAACAAATAATAATGGGAAAAATATTTCTTGTTTTAGTTAAATGTTTAAATTGTGTAATATTAGGCCAATGAAGAAAATGAGCTACGGCAGCACCTTGTAAAATAATATTTAAGGACGTAAGCATGACAGTAGAAGGACAGTGCGGGTTTCGAGTGAGAGACGGATATATTTTGTAAACGATTCATAGAGACCCGTATTTTTGTGTGATTGTTTTTTTATTGAATAAAGTGATTAATAATAGTGTTAATTGTTGATAGATCTTTTTGTGCTATCGAGAGATAGGTATACTACACTTGTATCAAACACGAAAATGTAAAATATTTTTCTTCGATTAATTCGTTTAAAAATAAATGATTTTCATATTATGTCAAAAATGTATTAACATTAAAATTAATAATTTTTTTAGAGCACATTTATATGGAAAATGTTTGGTCATTTTTTGAACATAACTACGTGCATATTTTATAGGTTTTTAAAGCATATAATTGTCGATTCTGCTTAATAATATGACTTAATGTCAAGCATGAATTTTACAATAAATCAATAAATGTATATCAATTCAATGAACCTATTTCATATTTCAATTTGTAGAAGTAAACAAAACGCTATTTTATTTGCACGATATTATATAGTTTATTAGTACAGGTACTGTAAATCTGCACATTTCCAATATTTTCTAATCGGTGAAAACGAGTATATGTTTTCGTAAGAATGGAAAGACCACCTGAATAGTGGTAGCAAATACGACGAATTACGTACAAAGAAGTAAAATAGTTTATTCAGCTGTTGTGTAAAAAAACTAAAAAATATTGGTTCTTGGATTTTTGACTCATAAACACAATGTTAAACTGTATAGTGAAATCCATAGGCGTCGCCTAAATTAATTTCATCAAACTATATTGTTAACTGGATTGTATTGTAACTTTATTTGTCCGTGCACTGTGTAAGAGTACTAACTGGGTTGAAAACAGCGTTTATCAAATTGAAAAATGATGATTAATACTTCTAAATATGACAAAAGCTTTATTTTCTTAGTGTATAATGTTATCATGATCATTTCAACAGTATCATTCAATATTACTGCTGAACCGAATATAAGTAATACAGACAAATACGCTCCAGATTATGGTAGGTTGTATGTATATATTAAAACACATTGACACAAAAAAAATGATTGAGTTTAAATAATCATCAAATAATTTTTTTTAAATTGTATGTGATATTTATATTTATTTCAGACTACAAAATACTAATTTATTTTAATTAATAGGAATGGCTTTAAAAATGTATCAAATTAATTATATTTTCTATAGATATGATCCAGATAGAGGATTTACCTGACTATTATAAGTATTATTTTCGTCCTTCCGTTTACGGTGAGTCAGTATTCTCAGTTATTATGTATGAACAATTAGTTGAAGACAATTATTCTGGATTTAAATATTTCATTACACAAATATACTATGTGAAGGATATTTTCGATTATAAATTATGTAACATTCATGATTCATTCGAGGAAAACGAATCACGTATTAGTATATTCCCTAAAGATAAAAATTGAAAATCTTATATTTTATATTCAATCATAGTAAAGCGGGTAATGCGGGATTCTTCGACTGTTATTTTACATTTTTAACTAGGTAACTATTATTGTTGTTTTTAATTGATCATAAGAATTAAAAATTTTTTAGCGGGTCAACTGAAAATTTTTCCAGTAATGTTTTTCAGATCAATTTATAGTAAGTTTTTCAAAATGATCTATAGTCCTATGTAGAACTATGATACAGTTTGTGCAGTAATTTGATATTTTGATTTATACCACTAAAAATTGGAGTTCTGGATCCAAAACTGGATTTATGAGGACTAAGCATAATTGTCGAAATATACAGAAATAATAAAATTTGGTTTATGGGTTCATGCATTGTTATAGTATAAGACATTATGTGTTATTAGTTTATTACTTATTAATATTATTAAAAATTATTTTTTATAGATTGTAAATACTTGGGTAAGTATACATATAGGTGTTTTAATATTTTATAAGAATTTTTGATAATATAGAATTTTCCACCAAATGAAGTACAATAGGTATAAATATTATTATAATTTAGTTTAACAGATTCAACAATGAATGTAATTTTACGGTGTTTAAATTATCGAACGAACAGTTGAAATTGGAGAACATTGCTCTTATACTAAACGCAGCAAGGCCGTAGCCAGGGGGGGGGATAAGGATAAAAACCCCCCCGAAATTTTTTTTTGAAACAATATTGAATAGTTTTAAATGCCTATTATATTTGATACGTGTCACTGTGATTACAACACATAAAAAAATAAAACGGTTTAACGGTATATTTTATATTTATATTGTGTTAGATAAGCGATAACTAATCTTAATGTACTTTTGTAAAACCTAATATATAGCTCACATAATACCTACAGTATCTAATCTTAATTAAGATTAACCCCCCCCCCCCCCGAAATATTTTTCTGGCTACGGCCTTGAAACGCAGTTTATGTAAAAATAAGGAATAACCCACGTCCGCTTAATTGATTAGGTTCCCTAAACCACCTATAACTCTATAAGTTACTTCTACAATTCGTTATGGGCACATTTAATATACAATTTTCATCCATAAGATAACACTCATCAACAACTAATAATAAGTCTTAATTCTCCCACCACGAGGTTCCTGAACGTGAATTCAAGGTTATACCACAGATTAAATGAAACCAGATAGTGCACTCATGAAAGTCGGTAAAATGTAAACAAATTTTTGTACTTCTCAAATCAGTCTGGCTAGGAAAGGAAAAAATAAATTTACCATATTTCATAAAACTGGTCATACTGTACGCTATATGTTATCAAACATATTTCATGATAATGTTTTGTTTATGTGTTAATTTTAGTATTTCTCCTTCTCGTCCTTATTTTGAAATCAATAACAAAAAGATTTTTTATATTTTTGATCCACAACACCTTCTCAAGGCTACTAGAAATATGTTTTTACAACATAAATTTAAAGTAGATGACAATTTTATTGACAAAAAATATGTTGTGTCGTTTTACAAGAAAGATAGTGCTAGCAATTTAAGATTAGCTCCCAAATTAACTAACTCACATGTCTATCCTAATGCATTTAAGAAGATGCGTGTATATTTGGCGGCACAATTGTTTAGTGCCACAGTGGCAGCCGGCATGAAAACATATTTAGCCTTAGATAAACTTCCTTTTAAGTCGAGGCCTACAATTGAATTTATAGAAAATATTGATAAATTATTTGACATTTTTAATTCTTATAAAAGGCCGAATTCAAAAGATTATAATAGACCATTTATCAATCCTCAGCTTCAAAGATCACACCTATTATTAATGGAAAAAATGTTTAATTCTTTAATAGTTTTAGACAAAAATAATATAGATGTAACTAAAAGAATGAAGTTTATAAGAGGATGGTTAGTTTCTATTGCTAGCTTAAATTTATTGTGGCAATCCTTATCTTCTGTAACTACTAGGCAAAATTATGTTTTATTTACGAACAGGATCAATCAAGATTGTCTTGAGAACTTGTTTTGCACGTTTAGGCAGAGACAAGGAAATAATTTCAATCCAACTCCAATACAATTCTATTATTCATTTAAAAATATATTTTTCATGAATTATTTTAAACATTCCAACAATGCTAATTACCTGCAAGATTTAGATGACATTCTATATAATATTCAAGACCCTACCAATTCTGAGGTTCAAAATATTATGTTTCCAGATAAAACTACATTTAAATTTAAATCTTCAATACCGGTAACATCTGTTGATTATCGGGATTTAGAATTGCCTGATCAAAATATACTAACTTATATTTGTGGCTATTTGATTAAAAAATGTTTGGAAACTCATATTTGCAATATTTGCTTAAATTATGCCAAATTTCAAAAAAAATTAGAACCATCCTTTTTATTTTCTTATTTTAAAGCTTATGAAAATTCTGAAAAATCCACTTTTGGAAACCTATCAATGCCAAATTCAGAATTTTATAATTATATAAATAGTTTAGAAACAGTGTTTATTAATCGTTTCCCTGTATTAGCAGCTGAGAAAAAAGTAGGTAAAAATTGAAACTTAGTATGCTATCAATTTACTATTCTCACCCGTGTGAACATTTTAATAAAGACTATCTTTTAAATTTATTCATAAGATTTAGGATTTATTCATCATTAAAGTTTTTAAATAGGGAGATGGCTTCTGAAAAAATAAGGAAAAATAGAAAATTAGCAACATTAAAACATTTATAATTATTAATTATTAATAACTGTTATTTTTTATTTGTTAATATGTATCAATATGGATCAACATGGATCAATATGGAACAATATGATCTACGAGAGTAGGGCGTCATTCCAATGAAATTGTATCTAGATAGTTATTTGAATAAAAATGTATTTGAGTTATCTGAAAACATTATTATTCCAATAATAATATTTTCAAATTATTCAAATAAAAATGCATTAATTAATTGGCATAAAATAGTGTCTTTTTATCTGTGAACAATATTTTTCGTAAATTATTGTATTACAATATTTTTGTTACTCCTATTTGGACCTACTGCATCGCGCAGTAACCAATCAGATCCTGTTGTTTGGAAATCTATTGTTATATTCCGAAGTGCACTATCTGGCTTCATTTAATCTGTGGTTATACTGCGGAGTAGTAATGAGCCAGAGTAGACGAGTTTTGGTTGCGTTCTCTCATTGGGCATAGACACAGATTGTATGCAAACAAATAATAATATGTAATAATATCAGCATTCAGCATTATAATATGTTTTCATGTAATCTGTGTTATAGGTATTAATATTACATTGCAATGCATGATAAATATTATAAACAAATATTTTAATAGTGTGTTTTAATAGTTTTAGTTCAAAATCAAAGATTTCAATTGTTTCATAAATGTGCAATAGTTACATATAATAACATGTACCATAATCATGCTGTTACTTGATTAATATATTTTATTTATAAATATATTTAATTGTTAGTATTACCAGACTTAAAAGACCGTTATGACTATGGAGAATATAGTCAAAAATTTTATGAAAGATGTAAGTTAAACATTTTAGATAATATTATATATCTATTTATTTAAATAATTTCTTCTATGCACTAAACAGTTGTTTCTAGAGATTAATTAAAAAATATTAATAGTTTAAAAACGCCTAAAATAAGAATATATGTATAACAATAAGGTACCTTCATAATTTAATTAGGTATACGTTATACCATTTCCATGTAAATAAAAAAAAGTTTTAGTCTTAATGAAACTTTTACTTATTGAATAACTACAAACATAACATAGATCACAAACAAACAAGTTGATATTCGTGTTAATGGTTTGGGTATTAAATACCAAATGAAAACATTCTAGTTGGTTTTTGCATTGGAAATGCTGGAGCCTATATTATGTTCAATATTAAAAGTATATTGCATATTTGCAAAAATATGATATAAATTGGTTAACAGCAGTGCAGTTACGTGAATCATTGAAAAATACACTGGAAACTATGAGAAATACTGAATCTAATTTTGACAATATTTACAAGAAAGTTTTTTAATTATTTGAAGACAATCAAATTGTGATTCCATTGGTTAAAAAATGAAAAGTTTCAAGCAAAGTTTATTGTTTTTTTAATACCCAACATTTTATGGATATTAAAGAAGAAGAAATGATTATTATATTCTACAATGCAACATCGAATCAAAACATTAATTATTATGGTATTAATTTGAGATTTAGCCAGGAATCTTTGAATATTATGAAAAAATATTTGTTACCATGCTTGTGACAAGTTGTTCTTGTGAAAGGCCATTTTCAAAACTAAGCTTAATCAAAATTTAAGTAGAACAAAGCATCAGGATCCACTAGATGGACTACTCTCCATTTATATTGAATAGAAATTGGCCTATAATATAAACATTGATGGCGTAATAGAATAATTAAAAATATTAACCCCTTCTGAGAGAAAAATGGTACTCTGAAAAAGTGAAGAGTTATGAATTGTCTTTTTGTAAATTGTAAAAAATGATGTGTTTATTTTCTTTATATATATATTAATATAATATAAATAATCATTGAAGTTTCAATTATTACATTCAATTTGTAGTTAAATAAATGATACTTAAAATTAAAATACTTCCTTCACTAATATTAATTGAACTAACTAATAACCAAAATAATATTCAATCATATATTATATAATGTATACATTCTGCCCTCGACAATTTCTGCACACGCCTATCATGCTTCTGTAGGAAACACGTACAATAGTAAAAGTGAAAAATAAATTTAATTTCAATAAAAATAATATAATTGTAATTGTTAGTATTCATGAATTACTTATTTTTGTATGATTTGGTTGTAGTATTACCAAACCATATACCATCTTATCTAATGAATTAAAATACGTATCAAAAGTATAAAATGAAAGACAAATGTCCTAAAAACAAAAAACCTCAAAATATGCATTTATATGCAGAATAATAGTATGAAACTAGCTTTGTCTTAGCGTAAAACGTATTTGTTTCTTACTCTGCTATTTTTGTGATTGTGTAAAACGAATATACAAATGCTACAAGTTTTCTGCTCTAGGTAAAAGGAATAGGCATAAACGGTTTTGTCCCATTTTGAACTCAAAATTTTACAAATTTATTAAAATAATAGATAATATAATACTTATAATCTTATAACTTATAAGTTATAAGGTAGACTATGATACGGGCTTTGTGTAGGGGGGGATCACGCTAAAACACGATTGTGCAATTTTTCCTTTTTTATACTTATTTATACTTATCAGTTATCACCTATTTATTCACAATTTTCCTTCTCATTTATTACAGGCTTAGAACTATCAACCAATTATCATCGTTGGCTTGGTTAAAAATTGTTTTTTTCTTAATTACATGTATGCCAAATATATTTACTGACGGTTCCACGTCAAAATATCCCCGACAAAATATCTCCAAACCAAAATATCCCCACAAAAATATTCCATGACATAATATCCCACGTAATTATTAATTCAAAATTTAAAAAAAATATTCGTCAAAAATTAGATACTTATTTATTTATTTATTTATTTATTCAGCCAAAACAATTTTAATTAAATAATTACAATAAAATACATTAATAATAGCTGATACATATACCAACTGAACTATAAGCTCGTATCTGGTATACGAAGTTCAACGATATTACAATTCGTTTAAAGTAAAATACTTATACAAATAAATTATGATATAAATAAATAAAAATAGACTTAAAATACAAAAATATTGTGTGTCAAAAAATTTAAGAATACAAAAATATGGAAATGATTAGTCAAAAATTATACAAAATAAAACACGTACCTATTATAATATTAAGTTATATGCGCTATTGATTTTAAATTTTATTTTTATTAGTGCCACTATATAACCTTTTACAACAGCAACTAGCCGCTCATTCAAATCTTTATACTTACCTACGTCTTTTTTTCTGTCGAGGCACTCCAGCTATTTGCTGTTCCATTTTTGCCTCCTGTAGACCTTGTTCTCGCTTCAACATGTTTATGAATTTCCACACAATTTCCACAGCCTTTTTGGCTTTTAATAAATTCTAGCATTATTTAATATAATAAGAAAATAATAAAACAAAATAAGAAACGTTAAATGCTCACGACACGCTTTGTAGGTAATGAAATAAAATGACAGTATGACATTCTATACTATCATTATATCATCAACATAACGAATAACACACGTTCACTTTGGAATTTAGATAAATTGCGATTATTACTTCTAATTGCAACTTTTATAATAAAGGTCAACATTTTGAGTTATTATTTAACTGGGAAATTTTTACGTGGGATATTTTGTCATAGAATATCTTTGTGGGGATATTTTGGTTTGGGGATATTTTGACCGGGATATTTTTACGTGTCACCATACTGACATAGTCAGTAGTCGATATTTTATTTTGTTCATATTCATAAAAATTATTAGATAATAATTAATTTCAATAAAAAAAAAAATTCTATTGACTATGTTGGTAGGTACATAGGTTCATTTAGCATACATGTAATTTTGAAAAAAAAAACAATTTTTTATTGTATGCATTATTTTATGTAGTACATTAACTGTTTTACATAGTATATAATATAGACATATAGTATATCATGTGTTGCGCAATCGTTTTGCAATTTTTCATGGGCAATTGTGGTGTAATTAGTCTTTTCAAAAAGGAAAAATTGCGCAATCGTCATGTAGCAGCGCGATCGCCCCCCCCCCACCCCACCACAATTACGTTCTGGTTCCCTACTTAAATTGTTTATGAAAACGGTTAAGACACGATTGATGACTTATTTTGCAACACAATTAATAAAATTAACAATAATTACGATTACGTCGATAAATTTAAGGAATTTAGTATTATCATTAAAAAAATCTTAACTTCATAATTAATAAAAGAAAAATATAACTTTATTTACTTCCAGTATTAAACTTAAGTTCGTATACTCTTTAGTCAATATCTAATTATTATTAATATTATTACCTGATTATTAATTATTATATTTTCATATATTTTGAATAATTAATGGAATTACAGCGGTAACTTGGGTCGTGGTGCAAAAAATGCAAACCCGCAGTAGCGTAGTTCATCGTATTTACTATTTACCTAACACCTAGGGAATTAAATAAATGAACAAGCTACTTACAACACTGCAGGACGAGGGTTAATTTTTATTTTGAAATAAATGACTGATATGTCCTAGATGTAATAAGCAGAAAACAATGTTGTGTCAGCCCAAAATTAAAATTTTTGTTTCTCGAAACATGAAAATAATAATTATATCTACATACATACGATTTTTTTTTTTTGTTATTAAATTAAGTCCGCGGCAGCTAGACCATTGGACTGACATAAGTTACAGGTTCACATTATTATATACTACATTATTTACATTATTACATGAAGTAGACAATTTTTAAATTTTATTAATTAGTTTAGAGTTGTAAATAAATTCTAAAATATTTTTTAAATTATATTGATTCAGTGACTCGGACAGCTGGCCAGGCAGGTCTGCATCCTTTCTGTCCTTGCTGTAACTCTGGCATTCGGTGAGGATATGCTTGATGGTTAGGGGGACGCCGCAGCAGGTGCAGACAGGTGGCTCTTCTTTTTTCATGAGGTGTTGATGAGTGAGGTGAGAATGTCCATCCTTAGACGGGTGATGGAGAATGTAGAATTCGGGGGGTGATGGAGACTAAAAGGAGCTCTTGCCATTCTGGCGGCGAATTTGTAGGTTTATTCTGACCATCTCATGTCTAGTGGAGGGATTCCAGCGATGCTTAGGATGCTGCTGATGGGACTTGATCGGAAAGCGCCGATATATAGACAAATCCCTGTGTTATTTACTGATTCTAGTAATTTTGTATGAGATGGTTTGGCTGTTTAGAAAAGGAGGGCTCCATAATCCATTTTAGAAAGGATAAGTGTCTTGTGAATTTTAAATAGGGTTCCAGTGTGGGCTCCCCAGGAGGTGTGAGAAAGTGTTTTGACTATGTTGATTCTGGGGGGACAAGATTTTTTAATGTGTAGAATGTAAGGGAGCCATGGGGCCTTATAATCTAGAATTGCTCCAAGGATTTTTACTTGGTTTTTGTTCTTGATGGAAAGGGGGCCAATGTTTACTGAGATGGTTTCTTTTTTCTTTCTTCGGTTGATAACTATTAGGCTCGTTTTGTTCGGTGAGAAACGGAAGCCAGACATTTTAGACCATGATATGAGTTTATTGGTTGAGTCTTGCAGGAGTTGTTGTATAGTGATACTATTGAAGCTGCGACATGTGATGGCGAAATTGTCTGCGTATAAAAAAGGAGAGTTAGGGTTTCGGATTCCTTCGAAAATATCGTTGATGGCGATAAGGAATAACGTTACTGAAATGGTGGATCCTTGGGGTACTCCGTTTTCCTGTATAAACATATGTGATAAAGAGTTGGGTGTTTTGATTTGAAAGGTGCGGTTGCATAGGAAGTTATTTATGAATTCTAACATGTTTCCTTTGGACAGAATTTGGTTGAGCTTATAAGTGATTCTAGGCCCCCAGGCTGTGCCATATGCCTTGGCGATGTCAAAACTAATGATTCCTAGTTTTTGTTTATTCTGTAGAGCTATTTGGATTTCGTTTTTAATGTTTAAGAGGTTTTTAGTCGTGCTTCTGTTGCTTCTGAAGCCGTTTTGTTCGGGAGTGAAGTAAGTGGATTTCTCCAAAAACCACATGAAGTGGTTGTTGATTATCTTCTCAAGTAGTTTGCATATGGTATTAAGGAGACAGATAGGTCGATAGCTGTCGGGGATAAATTTATTTTTGGCAGGCTTTAGGATGGGGATGACGTAACCATGCCTCCAGGATTTTGGAAATGTTTTATTATTCCATATAGAGTTGTATATTGATAGTAAGTGTATTCTGGCATTTTTTGGGAGATTTTATATAAATAGATATGGGATTCCGTCAGGACCAGGACTTTTGCTTTTGCAGCATCGGAGTGCGTCTTCAACTTCTGAGATGAGTAGATTGGAGTTCATATGAATTTGTACATTATCAAGTGAAACGACGTTGTTAGTGGGGTTATTGAATATATGTGTATTAGATAGGAACTCCTGATCATAGTTTATGTTGCTGGAATTATCTTGGAACATTTGACCGAGGACGTTGGCTACTTCTTTGTGTGAGGTTGTGAGGTTGGTGTCCTTGAGGAAATGGATGGTGCTCCTGTTGGTTCCTTTGATGGATTTAATTTTTTCCATACTAATGAGGAATCAGTTTGGTAGTTTATGCTAGAGACATATTCTTTCCACGATGAGACTTTGTTGCTCTTTACAATATACCTGGTTTGGGCTCTGGCTCTTTTTAAATTAATAAAGTCTTCTTGGGTGTGGATGGTTTGAAATTTTTTGAGAGCTTTGTTTTTCTTTTGAATGGATTTTTTTATTTTGTCATTCCACCATGGGACTCGGGGTCTGGAAGAACTGTTCTTTGAGATTCCTATTGTTATTTTGGCGATTTCAGTGATCATGTCATTGAATTCCCCTACGACTACCTGCGTGTTTTCTGACGAGGGGGTAGAAAGGCTTGGGGTTTTGTTTTCTATTAGAGAGGTGAATAGGTTACTGTTGGCTTTCTTGATGGACCATCAGGGTGAGTAAATCAGATGGGTGTCATCTAGAGGGAGGTTTATAGATATTTGTATCGGTATATGATCGCTGCTGTTGTATGAGTATGGTAGGGTGCACCAATCCAGTTTGTGGGAGAGGGATGTGTTAGCGATGGACAGTTCAATGGAGGAAGAACGTTCGTTTGCGGGGTTAATTTTAGTTGGTTGTCCGTTATTGAGGAGCATCAGATTGTCGTGCATAAGTAGTTCTTCGATGATTTACCCTCTGTGATCTGATTTGTGCGATCCCCATATTTCGCTGTGACTGTTAAAGTCACCGACTAGGATGAATAAGTTGAGAAGTTGTTGTGTGATATTTTCAACGTCAGAGAGAGAGAAATTTCTTTGGTTTGGTATATATATGTTGCATATGGTTAATTTTATGTGGGGAAGAGTGACTGAAACTGCTATCGCTTCCAAGTTGGTTTGAAGTGGGTGTTCTGTGCTGGGGAAGTCTTGATTGATCATAATTGCAACTCCTCCACTAGCTATGGCACAGGAGAGACGGTTACGTATATATATATCAAAGTGTGTGAAAGTAGGATTACTACCGTCATTGAAATTGGTTTCATGAATGCATACTACTGAGGGACTGTGTTCTTTGATTAATATCTGGAGTTCGTCGAGTCTACTATAGAATCCATTAACATTCCATTGTATTATTTTAGTTTTCATGTGCGATGTTCTTTGAATTGTAGGCTAGTTGCTTCGTGTAGTGTAAGGCGGAATGAGCGGGGGTAGGGGGTAGGTAGGATTGGGTTTTTTTTGTGTGTGGATGATGTTTAATGGATGTTGGGGAGGCGAGGCTTGAAAAAGCAAGTCGCTTAGTTTGGTAAGGTGAGTTTTGAGGAAAGTTTTGTTAATTTTTGAGCGTATTTCTTCGATGAGTTTCATTAGGGAGGGGATGTCGGAATCAATGTCTTTGCAGAGGTTGTGTATGTTGATGTTTTCATTTGCGTAGTTTTCCAAAATATACTTGAACTGGAGCATGGTCACAGTGGAGTTGTTGCGAAAGATTTCCTCCGCTGGTATGCGGCTCTCAAGCTATTTATCTTCGTTTCTAGTTGATAGTTTCATCTGGAGTGAATCTTAATTTTTTTGTTGGTCTTTTTGGTGATTTCGTTGAGGGGGTGAGTGGTGTTAAGTCTGCCGTATGTGAGGTGATCTTAATAACTTCTTGTGATGATGAATCAGAAAGATTCCACTTGGAGGGTTTTTCGTCTTCTGTGAGTTGTGCTGACTGCTGAGACATATTAGTAAGGGAGCCGTGTGAGTGATCTTAGGGTGTAAGAGGGGGGTCATGGGGGGTAGGATTTGTGTAATTATTGTCATATGAGGTGAATTCGATTTGATGTTCAACCAACGAGTCCGTGTTGTCTTGAGACTGCGTTTCGTTGATTGATTGGCTTTCGAGGAGCTGCATGTCAATCGGGAATGATTCGACTGTAGTGTCGTCTTTGTTATTGTTTGATTGGGGGAGGTTATGCGTTTGTAGGTTTATCGAATTTTCGGAATCCAGTTGTTTGTTGCATGATGTAGATGTGTGCCCGGTTGATTTACATATGAAACACGTGATTTTTTCTTCGGTGAAGAATATTCTGAATTGGGTTTGGTTGTTGATGATAGTTATGGAACCGGGTAGTTTTGTTGTGTCTTCGTGGTTAATGAACATTTGTCGGCGCAAGCTCAAGATATGCTCGTTACCCTCAAGATTTATTCCGCCTCTCGTGTGGTTTATCTGGGATACTGGCGTAATATTTATGCTTTTTAATGCATTAAGTATTGATTGGTTCGGTATTGAGGGACATACGTTGGAAATGATTATTTTTTTTGCTGGAGTGATGAGTCTTCGGATTTGTATTATGTGTTCGTTTACCGTGATCGTATTGGTGTTTTCTAAGAGTGTTTCGAGTATTTCTTTACTAGAAAGGAAAACACAGAAGCGATTGTTTGATATTCTAGATATGTAGATAATGTGTTTCGGTGATATAATTTTTCCAATTTCTAGTATGTAATCTACCTGACGTATACCATCGATAGAATTAAATACTAGTGCCTGTTCTCTAGTAGGATTTTTTTCGTTTGCCGTGATAGAGGCAAAGCTAATGGTGCTATTGCGCTGAGTATCGGGTATGTCATTAACGCTGGAAACGGCGGTGATTAGCTGCTTATCTGCTGCCTTGACGACGGCCGAATTATATGTAACAGGTGTGTGTTGGTTGGTGGGAAAGATATAAGGTGTACGTGGGTTGCTGCTGTGGTTATTTTTATTCAGTACGGGTTATTTGTTGTTGACATTGGTTGTACTAGACAAACTCGTTGTTTCATTAGTTTTAGGGATGTTATTTTTTGTGAGAGGTTTGCTTAGGGGCGGCGTGCCCGTCCTATGCTTTCCGCTCATTTCGTTAGTGATGGAAGACGCCTGATATTATAGACAATAATATTGATTCATATTACCTTTAATCAGACGCTGGTGTAGTTAGATACCACAATGCCATCGAGAGCTATAAAACGCATAATCGCGGAGAGAACACATGTGTTATACTAACGGAAGTCGAACACGTACTGATACGATATTTTATTTATAAGTAATCCTAAATAATCAGCTAACGACCAATACAAGAGTTTACGACACATCTAACTGATATAGTGAATCAAAAAAATGTATTATAATATAATTAGTACATACTATTATTCTAAGTGTGATTGTGTGAAGTGAATAAATTTTAAAACCCAAAAGTGTTTGTATGGCCATAAAGTTTACACATGTAGGTTTAATAAACTAATTTGTAAGTAACATTATTAATTATAAATTATGTTTCGAATTCGAATTCTTAGATCATCAATACAAAACATCGAATAAGATAATTAAAAAACAAGAAAATAATTACGGTAAATTATATTTTGGATGTTGGTAATGAATTATTATATTTCGTCTATAATGCGAGTAAAATTGACCCTTCTTATTATTTTTTTTTCTAGGTAAACATAATTATATATCACATGTATAAATGTACTTGATTTTTAACAATTAATAATTTTTGTTTGTTCATTTCTTATTCAGTGTTTAAAAAAGTTACAAGATTTGTCATGAAATTATGCATATTTCACAAGTTATAAAATAAACGAAATAAATGAACATACATTAACCTATTTTGATGTACCGTAGCAACGTTTTAGTTGTTACAGTATACTATATACTTTGTAATCTCTCATCACCTGAGATTAATCATCTTCTACTTAGATGTTATAACTTATAGCTAACCTACTACTCCAGACCCCTGTTATACAACTGAGTAGCTTTCCCAGTTTTATTTTACAATATATAATGCGTTTAATATGGAATAAGTTTAAATTTTAACTGGCAATTAGGGGAAGTAATAAATATTTGGTAAAGGGCTGGCGGTCATTCTCTAGAATATCAGAGCCAGCACAAAGAACTTTTAAAGGAATGGTTATAAGAGTTCAAAGTTTTCTGCTACATTGCTATGCACCTCGTCTTTCCACAAAAATAATAATTTCTCATAATATAACTTTAGAGTCTTATTAGTCCATGATATGTAGGGTATATTATTTAAATAAAAAATTAATTAATATTGAAAATAGTAATATGTATAACTTTTTTTCATGACCTTTGTCTGGCCCCGATGATTGAATGACAGATAAGCTGCTTGCGAACTATTCCAAAGTAACGAAAGAAGCATATGATGCAGTAAAAAAGTACGAAGATCCAGTGGAAATGGACAATAGAGATTCAAACAGAAAATTGAAAGATGAAGCAGTACAAACTTATCTAAATACTGAAATGGAAATCTCTTCGGATGGTAGAACAAACATATTTATATTTTATTTGTTCTTAATACGATTACCTTAGTTTTATTTTATAGTTATCAGTCATGTGAAATGTACGCAATGTTGTCCAATGAGATTAAAAGTCCGGGTGTTAAATGGGAAACTGAATAATTAACACAAGCTCTTAATATTAATAAAATTAGGTACGCCGTAGAGAAATACAAAATAGAAGGAAACCAATGTTTTATAGAAAGTTTGTTACCACTTAATTGGTACTTATTACCCAGTGCGTATTCTACCTAATGAAAATATAACAGCCAACTATCGTTTCTATTTTCCTATACTAGTTGTCAATACAATACAAACAACGAAATATTTTTAACTTATTACTTTTTAGCATTTATTTTAAAACTATAATAAAAAGAAGCTAAAAAAAACATGGTTTATAATCAACTAGCCTCAGTGTATTCTTTAAAAAATTTAGATTGTTCGGAAATATTTTTATTAAATAAGTAGAAATTTCATCCACCACAGTTCAAGTATTCTTTTCAGTAGTACATGTCTTAGGGAGGTGTCCAGGTTTAAAATTAGGGTCCCTCTTTGTAACTGTACTGACTGACAAATCATAAGTTTATGATCGATTAGTAACGTACCTATGCCTAGTCTGTACTCGACTTAAATTCAATTTTTTTTAAATCGTTTTTTGCAGAAGAGCTTCATGATGAATTCAAGTACATATATGCAAATTATGAAGTTCATGCATATCCAACAGAAAAGATCTTCTACCGTAAGTAAAATCCTCTGTTATTGAAATGTCTATGTAATTCAATGAAATATATATAAGAATAAATATTAATTGCATACGTAGCGATCGCTGTACTATATTGCTTTTTTAAGTGGACTTGTTATCTGAATTTCTAGTTACCATTGTCTATGAGCAATACAGTTTTGTTAATTTTTTATAATCGTCATTATTATTGTTATTGATAATTATATACTTAATTTGACAGACATTTTCTATATTTAAAAAAAATAGCTCTGCAAACTCTGAACTGAATAAATGGAACGTGTAATGCGTTTGAACCCCATTTGAGTCAGCCAATGTTCTTATCTATGATTTTTCATGGATAGAACTATTTTTACCATCTTGTCTTTCACCAAAAAGCATTGATAGTCCGATTGTATCCAAGGTCAATATCTTATGATTTTATATCATGTCCCAACGAGACATTTGAGCTATGAGTGGACTGTAACTGATTGGTTGTGTCCATTACTGATTCCCGTTGGTTGTAGGTGTTGGACGTGCGTACTTGTTGAACTTTGAGTGACCTGATTGATTTAATGATTTGCACTCATATTTAAAGGCATGGTTTCGTCCATTGCATCGATGAGCAGCGCATGTGAGGGCCATAATCGTCTGTGATTGGGTGTGCCTCGCGAGATATCACGAAGTCGTTAATCGAAATCCCGAGATATATATGAACGCTGCTCGGTTCTGTCCGGTGTTATCGGTATTGGTTGCTACTCAACAGTCCCCAGGTTGTTATCTTTCTGATTGCTCGTCGGTGGGATGATGCGCCATCATTCCTTGTCAGTTGTCGGTTTATCTCTTTATTCGGTTTATGCAAGCCTTCCCATTGATTGGTTACATTATAAACTTCGTATCAGTAGTTCTGTAATTATGTGCTACCTTAGCTCATCGGTGCCTTCAAGATCATTGCATAGGTCACCAGCATCGTTCATCGTTTCTGTAGAGTACAAGCAGTCTTCAAGAATTGATTCGATTGGGCAAGTTTGTACCTATACGTTATTGCAACCGGTTTTGCATCACCAGTCAGACTCGTGCTCTGCATAGGACACAGGAACGGCCGGCACAGTTGGCAGGAGGTAGGTATCTCTTATGTTTGTCTTCCGACGTCAAACGTGCCCGCCTGCGACTTTTCGGAGTGAGAATGCCAACCGTCTGTTTTCTATATGGAATGTGTATGCAACGTACATTAGCTGAGTGCAAAAATCATTAGACACGTTAGTAATTTAATAGTTAGTTATTTAATTGTTTATGTACCTTTGAAACAAGTACATATTACGTTCAATTCGGTTACAATACACATTTTTATTTACGTACTTTTATACGAGAGGATCGCGAGCTCTTTTTTGGAGCTAGTTATCATGGATAGCTTTTGACACTGCTTGTTTATATAGTTTCATAATCGTTGTAAGTTGGTTTGTTAACTTTTCTATTTTACCGGACACCCCTTTTTTTTTTGTGGCGTACGCAGTTAAGCATGCTAAGGATTATAGACAAGTCAGAATTTGGTGGTCGGACTTATAGCTAACTTAAAATTATATGATTTTCATTTTATTATGATGGGGATGAAATCGTTTACATTAACAAATGACAGAGAACTTAAGCAAAATAGTTACAAAGAGAAGAAGGTAACTAAGCGTTGGTACTTTCTGGTTGTGCTATGATAATACATAGACATATAACAACGATTTAGGATATTATGGTAATAGTTATCTCGTGGTATGGGTGCCCAACGATCTGTGATAAATATTTAATTAACAAATGTTACTTTTCTAACTGCGATCTCTAGACGCCAGATCGTCCGGACAGCATGACCTATTGATTCATATCGTCTGTTGTGTGATAATATTTTCATAATAGACAGCTGAGAAACCACACTGTCTTAAACATAATAATTAGCTTATAATTTTAAAATGTAATTAAAAAAATAGGGTTCTATAATAGTTTTTATAAACTTCTGCATTTACTGATGACTCGACATTACCTCAATATAGTAGAACCATTTATGATTAATTATTATATATACAATTGTGTCAATTAATACGAAAAATTCTTAAGAATTTGGCACAAGCGATAAATATCAGTGATGCACTGATGTGTAGTTAATAATCAACAATTACCTATAAAAACTTATTTTCTTAATTGAGTATATGAGGTAGTTTCAGAAAAATGATAAAGAACCTTCAGTTTCCAATCAATTTAGCTCTCCTATTGACCGATTTGTTCTTTTAATACTACCTTATTTTAGTTTAATTTATTAATCAACGTTTTCACAAGCGGTCAGCCGCGCCTATCGGAGACCTTCGAGAGCGTCCCAGACACATGTAAAGAACTTTTTCCTACCGTTTCAGTGTTCCAATTGCGTTATATTGTATTGTAGATAAGCATTAAACACACCGCCCGATTCATCCTTTTATACCTTTAAAGTGTTACAAGTCGGATAGGGTCCAAACTATATTTTATGTTCCAATTTTGTCCGATAAAGAAGGAAATGAATAGCCACAATTAGTAATTATTTTGTCAGTGATATTCAAAAAATATTTATACAAAAACAAATAAAAATCTGTCAAAATAGATAGTAATCATTGAATAATTGAAAAAATGCATTTCCTGTCAGTGTTATACAATAATTATAATACAAATATAAATATTAATTAGTCAAAACAATTAAAAACTCATCTTCTTGTCATGTTCCGACATAGGTCATTTAAATAGAAATATTACTTGTCATTTAAAAAAAGGATTTTTAAGGTACTGTAGAGGGAGTATAATCAATTTTTTTAAACTGTTTATTCCGCTCCTACTTCGAGTATCGCGGTTAGCAACAACGACTTGCGTAATACTGTAATAGATGGAAGGAAGGTCACCCACGGTGTAAAATCTTAGTATACAATATAATTATATAAGAATAAACGGACACCGTGTGCCAGACATATATTAACCACAGAACAGCGTAGATATAATGATAATAATAATGACAATAATATTATGCGGGCCCGTATTACTCGTAATTAATATTAATTAATAATAAATCAAAACAGATTTGTTTCCAAAAAAATATAAATCAAAATAACAATAATGTGTACAAACTTCTGCCGTGGCTTTATAAGTTGATATTAACGACTGAAATTTTGAATTATAATAGGACAAATCCACGAAAGTAATGAGATTCCATTCCGTGTGCGTAAGTTTAACGTGTTCCCGGAATTCATAGTACATGCCGTATGATTTGGGAAAGTATTCAAGCTAATTAGACGTTCTGGAAGTTGTATAATTCTTTCTGCTTGTACATCCAATGGGACGGTCGTAACTAGCCTGTAATATTTCGTTTATGTTACAAAATAGTTTCAGATGTATTCAAAAACTTCTCCAATGTTAATGAATTTGGGTGTCGTTAAGAAGAAAGTGCATATTAAAAATAACCCAAGATTAGTCATTAAAAAAAAGAAATATAAATATATTTACCAGGGCTAGCAAACGTTATAATAACGTTATGATTATAACGTTATATTTGATAAAAAACGATTGAAATTTGTAAACGTAATTATAAAGGAAAACGATAAACGTAAATAAATAAATAACACAAAACAAAACGTAACGTTTAACAAAATATATGATGTATCATTAAACAAAACATAACGCAAAACGGTATATATTGTATTCCATTAAACGAAATAATTAATTCCCAATTATTTAATAATACTTAGTAGTATTCAATTATTTATTCAATCCAAGAATTAATTTTATTCCGTATCCGGCCTATCCGGGAGATCCCGTATTAGATATTATTTTAAAACTTAATAAGAAGTTATTAATAGAATAATTTAATTACCAATAGCTAATAATAGTGATGCTCTGATAATATTGTACTGTACTATCTGTACTACGGTCGAAATTTATACCACTCAAGTTATTCAACTATTGTGTTCGGTGTTCAGTTTGCTCAGATTTATTCACTCGTCAGTGTTTGTCTAATTGTTGTCAAATGTTTAATATTTATATTTTATACTAATATACTTATAGTTTTAACGTGCATACGTTTTCTTTATATTAGTTTAACCCATTTAATTAAATAAATAAAATTAAACAATACCTACTTAAAACTCAGAATAGGGAAATTATGTCCCCAAAAAAAGGTCGTAGTCGTATACTTTTAAATTGCGGCCTGTGTACTTTCAAAACAGGTCTCTAAATACTTTTAAATTTTAAATAACGATAAACGCAAAAATTGTATAACGTTTTAATTATGAATAACGATAAACGCAAAAATTGTATAACGTTTTAATTCTGAATAGCGTTTTAATTTTGAATAACGATAAACTCAAAATTTGTATAACGTTTTGATTGTAAATAACGTAAAACAAAATTTATTTTTCAAATGCAAGCCCTGATATTTACAAATTGGGTAATCCCCATGTCTATTCATTAAATATTTTCACTAGATTCTTATGAACTGTAGTTTTTCGTTTCCCTTTCTGTATCGTCACATTCTCATTTTCGTTGATTTCTAGTACGCCGTATGGACCTAACCATTTAGGGCTTAACTTAACCCTTTCTGGTTTTGTCCTGAATAAGCACTCTATCGTTGACATGGATCGTTATTGGGTTTGCAGTTCGGTCATAACTAACCTTAGTTTTAATTTTGTTCCTCATTAGACATTCTAGAGCAATTAGATGGGCTTCTCGTAGCCTCTGTTTGAGTTCTTCCTGATAATCATAGTAGTTGTACTGAGGTTCTGGAGGTTTTGTCAGAGATGTTGGTACTTGTAAGGTTCTCTCATAAAGGAATGCGTAAAGTTGTTTGCCTGTGGATTGATGTTCCGATGAGTTGTATGTGAACATGGCGTATGGTATGTAGGTGTCCGAATTCCGCTGGTCTGAATCTACATAGTGTCTCAAGTATTCGCATAACGTGCGATGGCTCCTTTCTAGTGCACCATTCGCTTGTGTATGGTACGGCGATGTATTAATCCGTTTCA